GACTCACGAATTTAATTCCAGGCGTGTTGCAATTAAATGAATAAACGCATTTACAAACGTTATAATCCTTATATCTATCATTATTATCATTTTCCCATGATGGTACGGGACCTATTAATATAGGTCTTCCATTCGTACCTATAACGGGACGATAATTTTGCGACGAATAATCACCATTTGGCGGCCTGTAACCATTTCCGAGCGGATAATTTTCATTTTCGTAATATCTAAACACACCCAACCCCCCACGCAAATTATTATTATTATCATTAATGTTTAATTAATTTATTAAAAGTAAAAAAAAAAAAATTTTTTTACGAATTTGATGGTTTGACGTAATCCGGTCTCGGTGGTGGCCTGTAGGGGGGACGATAAACATTTTGCGGTTGTTCCGGTCTGTACTGTTGATTGGGTCTATATGTGTTATATTCCACATCCGGGTATTCTTCGGTTACGTCGTACCTGAATTTTCTTTCGTTAGGCCTAAAATAACAACAATTTTTACGTTTATTTCTTTTCTCCTAACACATCACGCACACCCGCACACACACACTCACTGAAAATCATCGTTGTACGTCGTGCTAGGTTTAAACAATGATGACGCCACAAGTTGTTCGTTATATTTTCTATTTCCGTTAACGACGATGCTTTTACCATTACCCCAAACCCATTTTGTACTTTCCGTTTGTGTACGTACGATTCCAATAATAATTAATAATATTACGGTAACTGAAACAAGTAATAAAAAAAAAAAATTTTCTTTTAAGGAAACTTTAAATATTCGCCATTTTGTTTTTCATTATTTTCTTCTTTTTCTATTTTTCTCTAACTTAACCGCAGCAAAACCAAACGAAATTCACATATATTATTAAATAAATAATTAATAGAAAATTTTAAATAATTTATTACTCTGGTAATAAAAAAATCAAATCGTTTTGTTTTTTTCTTTCTTTTTTAAAAAAAAAAAAAAAACTTGAAAATTTCTTAACGAGAGTAATAAAACATTTAAACGATTTATTTATTTATGACAACGTTTTGAATTTAAATTACTCGAAATTATTACGTAATTTTATTTCTTAAAAAAAATTACGCGAATAAAATTATCGGTGAAAAACAAAACAACGCAATCTTATGAATAATAAAAAAAAAAAAAAAAACGAAGAATTATAATAATAATAATAATAAATATTTATATAATGATGATAATGATAATAATACCCTAAAATATTATTAGTATTAATTTATTACTATTATTATTATTATTTATAAAAAAAATTTTACCTGTGAAAAGAATAAAAAAAAATTAAATGAAACAATTTAATTACTTTTTACCACATTTTCGTGCTTGCACCCGCCTCACCACCTCCACCCTCTCTAAAAAATATTAAAATTAAAGAAAAAAAATTTTTTTTAATAAGCTAAAAGGGGTGGTGATGGGGGTGGTAAAAGAAAAAAAAATTACGGTAATAAAAAGTAAAAAAAAATTACGGTAATAAAAAGTAAAAAAAAAATTTTTTTTAAATTTTTTATTTAAATGAATTTAATATTTTTTTAGTTTTATTTAATTAAAAACAAATAAAATAATTAATTTTAAAAAATTACTATAACTATAATTATAGTTTCATTATCACATCATTATTATTATTATTATTTAAAAAATAATTTATTACCATATTAAAAAAAAATTGTAATTTCATAATATATTTTTCTTACCTTCTTTTATTAAAAACATTTTTTTTTCGTTCTTTTGATTCTTCGAGTCCAAAAAAAAAAATGTATTAATAATTTTTCATTCTATAAATTTATGCGCTATAAAAAATTATAGAGGTTCACTATAAAACTATTTTTTTCTTTTTATAGTCGTTTGTTTTGCTATAAAAAAAAAAATTAAAAAAAAAATAAAAAAAAAGAAATTGGTCGAGATTAAAAAAAAGAAAACAATCGTAATTTTCGATTTCGTAAAAAAAAAATTATTATTAATAAATTACGTAATAAAATTATTAATTATTTTATTAACAAAAGATTTATTAACAATTTATTTATTTATTTATTTTCCCGCACAATTTGTTTAAATAAATAAATAAATTCACGTGAATACGTCGCGTACGACACTACTCAACATTCACAATCGACGACTACTACTACTACTACCTTATTTTCAACCGATTCTCTTATTAATAATAATAATAATAATAACAACAATTTAAATATAAACGGCGGTTGTAATAATAATAATAATAATGAGAAACGTTCTACCGAGGAAATCGAATATGACTAAACTCTTTTCATTCACAAAAAAAAAAAAATTTATTTTATATATTAAAGAATAAATAACAAATGGCGGCGGAATTTAATTATTTTTATATTTTAAGGCCGTTTTATTAATTTTTTTTTACTCCCACTTATC